CTATCCTCACCCTACACCATAACAGTGGACAGATACTGTGCTCAGTGCTGGAGATACAGGGAAATGATTGCAGTTATCAATCTAAAAGTATTCATAGGCTCTAGCATGGAAGCTAGGTACAGCAACCTGCAAGCACCATATCATGTCCTTTTATCTACAATGGAGAGAGAATGTGTACACAATGTAGAAGTAAAGAAGACTCCAGGGAAGGAGGTGCTTGCTTTGGTTCACTTTCAAAGAAATATGAATTTGCTAGAGACCGAAAGTAATGGCATTCCAGACAGAAGATGTTATATAAAGGGTCTTCAAAAAGTTCATGGAAAATGTGCATCATAAAAATATCTATGCATAGGGACTAGCAGATGGAGTAATGGCTATGTCACTGGACTCTCACGTAGTCGACCACGGTTCGCGTCCCGGACCCTGTGGCTTAAACTCATGCCGGATGTGTGTATGTGCATGCCCAAGATCCCAAGAGGAGAATAGAGGAGAAGGGATTGTGGTGTGACCATCCCTCTGGGGGGTAATTTCTCACTTTCTGTCTCTCTCTGTCTTTCTGGTGAGCACACGCGCTCTATAGTGAAAACCCCCCCCCGCCGCCAAAAAAAAAAAAAAACCACTATACATAAATTTCAAAAATTTTTGCACCAAAAGAAAGTCATACCTTACATTTTTCTACAAACTTGTTAAAAGTCCCCTTATATATCGGGAACCAGCAGTTAACGTAATGGCTATGTCGCTGGACTCCCACGTAGTCAACCACGGTTCGCGTCCCGGACCCGGTGGCTCCCCCCCGCCGCCAAAAAAAAAAAAAAACCACTATACATAAATTTCAAAAATTTTTGCACCAAAAGAAAGTCATACCTTACATTTTTCTACAAACTTGTTAAAAGTCCCCTTATATATCGGGAACCAGCAGTTAACGTAATGGCTATGTCGCTGGACTCCCACGTAGTCAACCACGGTTCGCGTCCCGGACCCGGTGGCTTAGAACTCACGCCGGGCGCCTGTGCGTGTGTGCCCAAGATCCCGAGAGGAGAATGGAGGAGAAGGGATTGTGGCGTGACTATCTCCCCTGGGGGGTGATTTCTCGCTTTCTGTCTCTATGTCTCTCTCTGTCTGGCGAGCGCAAGCGCCCTATAGCAAAAACCTCTAAAAACAAAAGTCCCCTTATATAAACAAAGTTAAAGAAGTATGAACCCCAAGGCACGTTGGAAATGAGAGTAGGCAAGTGAGACTGTAGCATAACAAGCCACATTTGCAAGACCACAGAAAACGGAAAGCCTTCTCTCTTACTTGGCACATGAGAGTGAGGGCAAGATCACTGACCACGTACATCCTGGGCTTAGCCCTGGGCTGTGCTTTACCCTGGATGTCTACATGGCAGTACTGATACGAAGTGGCTTGAAATGAATAGGAAGAGGCAGTTTTCTTCCTTCTCGACCTAAAATTTCCCCTAGATCAGAAGGAAGGGTGGAACTTTCTGTGAAGTTGCTGTCATTCTGTTTGTCTCAGCTTTTGTTCCAGGAAATACCGTGTTGGTTTAGTTACAGTGGTTTTGTTTGTGTTCCTAGATTAGCCAGCTTATAACACTTCTTGTACAAAGAGCATCCACTGTATATAGGTCACCCTGGGCCAAAGAGAAGGACACCAGCCCTCAGGAAGCTCCCAGGATCCAGCAGCCACTGCAGGTGCAGAGCACCGGAACATAAGTAGCTGTGCAGAGCTGGTCTCCAGGGTGGCTATAGGGCAGAGGAAGAGGGGATTGCAGCTGGAAGTTGGGTGGCCCATTTGGAAGGCTGTCTGGAAGTAAGTTTCGGGAAAGAACAAGGTAAACATTTCTGAAGTCAGTGGGTGTGCACACAGAATGGAGACCACTGATCTCTGCATTGCATATAGAGGAAAGTCTACTCTAGTCATTGTCCATTTCATGAGCACACAGTAGACTCCTACCCTGCTATGGATGGGGATTCTTTTAGAACAAAAGATGCCACAGGGATGCATCTCTACAATCATTTAAAATGAGAGTTCTATGCTATAAGTGTTAAAATTTTGGTGCTTAAGGGGAAAACCGTGTTGACTTAGGTTCAGATAAATTCTCTAACTCATAGTGAGAACCCAATGACTGTAAGCTATTATAATTTTCCAATCTGCTTATTTTTCAGATAAAGTGACTTGTCCAA